CCCCAAAACCCCAAAACCCCAAAACCCCAGGTGATATAAATACAATTGAATTTAAATGAGTGACAAAGCCAAAATGGTCAGGAGAAGAGGGATATCACAGAATCTAGATTTTAGGTTTGATAAGGTATGCTTAACTAGTGGCTTCGAGAAGTGTAATTTTTGAAGAATGAGTTTTGATCTGCTGAGATTTTTTTATGTATAGGTGAGAAAAATTAATGGAGGCAAAAAGATAGACCTTAAATTAGAAGTCTGAAAGCCATACACATCACTGAGTAAATCTATAATCTTTGGCCTTTAAAGGCATTAAATTTTTGATAATACCTTATCAATACTTATATCATAGAGTCAGAGCTCCCAAACCATCACTTACAATCGAAGCTCTAAGTAACGCCGATCACTATCCATAGACTTTTTCTACAGTCCATACAATAACTCAGTTGTTTCTGGGAAATTTATGACTTTTAAGGACCTGCACAAGGATATTGATGACTCTTGGATGTATGGTAAGCATTTATTTCTCTTCATCTAAAGTATGCTAAACACACCTCACCATCATCCTAGCTGAGCCAGTTAAAAAATTTCCAAAATTTAAGCTTTTTCTAATTCATCTACAAACCCAATGACTCATATTTAAAACTCATTGTTTAATTTTTATACTTCTTCAATGGCTTATCCTCAAACAAATATTTAACCCACCAATATAGATATGAAAGCAGGCCAGAGACTCAAGTATGTTTCTAAACTACCCTTTTAGTATCAGTAGAAAACCTATGAACAGGAAGGGAGCTCCAAAGAATACAGAAATTTTTCAAAGATCGAGCCAAATGAGAACGTATGTGCATTATAATCCTCCTAAGCTTCCAAATATCAACCTGATTTCACCCAATCACACTTCACCATAGCCTTCAATTCACTCTGGAGAAGTCAATAGGAGAAGACCCGACTAAAACATCTGACTCATTCGGACCAATAAGGATGGCTCGGAAGATGACAAGCATTCGTAACTATAATTCTAAAATATCAGGAGTCCATAGTCACGCAAGGAAGAAGGTCAGAATTAGTAAATATCCCAAAGTAAGAACAAGGATTATAAGATAGATGATAAATTCTCCAAATATTCCAAGGATCAAGAAGAAATAACTCCCATAATCACAAAAGCATAAAAAATAGAGACAATGACCACTTTTTTAAGATTGATCCAGTGCAAAAGGAAGGCAAAGAGAATCTGCCTGTAGGGAGTAACCAGCTTTTTAGGAAAAATCTGAATAAAGCCCCTTACATGAGACATTCTGACTACAATGTTTATTTTAAATAAGTCTCTGCTAAAGAAGCTATCAGTAGCAAATAAACCAATCGCTGATAAACCTGTAAATTTGAGTTTTATTCCTTAGACAAGATTGGACAAAATAATTCAAGAAGCCTCATCTATTTCTTCAGCTAAAGAAACAGATCCTGAAGATAACAAAAGTGGTAACAAAGAAGGCCCAAGAGAGAAACATAAAGAGGAGGACAAAAACAATTTGCCTCTGAAAGCTTATAGACCTCGTTTATTCTCTCCTCAGCCTCAAGCTAGAAGATTACATAGACATCAGAAAAGGATTCTTAGTGCAAATCCTTCACAGAGAAGAAGGAAGGTTTATCCGAGAAAATGTTTTTCTCCCTTATCTGATAGAATAAAGGTAAAGAACAGAGAAGATCAAAGGAATAAGAATAAAATAGAACAAGTCAAAGGTAACTGTACCTAATTATTATCTAGATATCTTCACTTCTTTTAAAAGAATCACAACACCAACGAAGAATGATAAAAATATGCTATATCTAGTAGTAAGCGAAGAAGGAGTTTCTAAAAAGAAGATCATTTGACAAGGATGACAGGAGAAATGGCTATCCTAGAAATCATTTTCACCCATGTCTTCCATAATTGAAAAATTAATTCAATCTAATAATATCTCAATGGGGTTTTGGGGTTTTGGGGTTTTGGGG